GTGGTAGGCAACATCCATCAACTGATACCCATTCTTGTCTGAAGTCTCCATCTTTAGAACACCGGAACTAGGAGCAACAATCCTGATCCTGGGTGACATTTTCTGCAAATGGGCCTGGGAGTACAAAACAAAATGAACACCTGACATAACTGAATTATTACACAGATATAGGAACGATTTGCATAACAAACTAAAATGGAAAAAAGCTGAACCAAAACAATAACACAAAACTAACTAGACATGTGAACTGACTAAACTGAAGAAATATACATATCAATACACCTACAGTAAAAACATCTATTCATAAACAGATCAGGGACTATACAAAAAATGGTTAAAATACTGTTAAGTAATGAATAAATACACACAGAAATCCCTACTGTTAAAATCTGACAAAACCAAATTAAAAAAATATAGACTAGCTATTCATAAGACAAAACTGCAGATCCAGTCCATGGGATTCAAACAGAAACCAACAAGAAAGTAGAAGATAAAACGAATAGAAACACATACCCATGATTCCTTCAAGTCACCATCCGTTAGGCGACAAACATAGGGTGTACGAAACCCATGGTTGCTGTACAGCAGACAGGAAAGTTGCCCACACCGCTGAGTCTGAGTGAGCTCCAAACCAGACTTGTACACACAGCCGTCAGCTATGCGCGCCATCTTTGCCAGGCATCCGCATGAACAATCCTCGATGGAACACACAGGAACAGAGAAAAAGGCAACGAAGAGAAGAGAGAGGAACCTAGATCTGATTCTGGAAGAAGGAAGAAAAGGGAGGTGGAAGACTTGGCCACACACCACACATAGATGGATAGCGTTTATAGTCAGGGACACTCGTAGATTATAAAAATAATAAATAGGCAGATGGGAAGCCAGCTGGTAGGAAATAGTTATTACACAAGCCATGCAACATTTGACCGCAAATCAGTTTAACTTTAGATAAACAAGCAGTTCAAAGGTGCACATGTCGAACATATGCAGACAAAAGAACACATTCAGAGACAAAAACAAGTTGAATTCATTTAGTCATTCAGACATCTGCTCCCTCACAACAAAAATCTTAAAAACATAATGTTCACTACTTCAGTCATAACGATCAAAGAAACGATGCCATTTTGCCCTGGTGGATGGATGTGGAGCCGTGGCTGCTCTCGCTCTAGCCCAACTAATGATCTGAATATGGTTCCATCCCCTGCCCTCTAGGAAAATAAGCTCCAATTCATTGGAGTTGCAAGTATCCATCACCTCACGCGCAAGCCGTCTGTTGAACTCTGCCTCCAGTTCCTCCTCGGCAGCACGTCGCGCCATCTGCCTGCGCCTGGGCCTCCTCCTCCTCTGCTCCGCTACTGCAGCCCTCACATCTATGGCATCCCCCTCCTCCTCTCTGACCTCTCCCAGCTCAGGATCCATCTCCCTTTTCTTTGGTTGCAGCTCGTAGAATGAAACTGATAGAGGGCTCGGGCTTTATAATCAAAGTGCAGAGCCATCGGTGCGGCTCCGATGTCAACACACAGTAATAAAACTTTGGCACGCAGTAGTCCAACTACACATACGGCAGCAATTCAAAACAACACTGAAAAACACGCAACTTAATCACATAGTTTAACCAAATTACAAGAAATCGCAGCTTACAGTCAGCCGCCATACACCACCTCCGCCAACGACAAAATAACATGGGAATCCGGGCTAGAAACAACTCAAAGAAACAAAATTGACAACGCAAATCTTTTCATACAATCCTTATATCTCTCCCTGCAACACCAATTCGAAAGTAAAACAACAGAAAAAGAAGAACAGATTTCCATGGCGGGCGTGGAAAACGACCAAGAACACCAAGACTTGTAATCATAAATTACAGATGAAAATAATCTCAAAAAACTCTAACATACCGATAATTCTCACATCAAAAATGGCAAACACGACATAAATTGAGGCCCACGAACCCCACAGTAAACACTGACGCCCAAAACACGTCCGCCACCAAAATGCCCACGCCGTCACCTCCGGTGACTACAGATCGCAAAACACATCCAGCTGAGCGTGCGCACGTGCGGAACCCCTTACATGTGTCCTCTAGCAACAAATGGCCCGCAGCATCGCGCCGGAGAACGACCGGAAGCTCCACATTGCATCCCATTTTTCCGTCCGTCGTGCACGCAGGAAGATCAGTTCTTGTTGAAAAACACGTCAGTCCAAACTATGAACTACGTCAGTACAGAGAGGGTAACAGAATAA